GTGGGCGCCCACGAATGCCCCGGCGGGTGCCATGGTGCCCGCGGGCACCGCGTTGGGGACCACGGATCTAGACAGTGCTTGGTCCTGCCATGAGGACAGGGGACTGGATTTAATGATGTCTCGAGGATTCTGATACATTCATGTTTTTTTAAATAATAAGCTATCCCTAATTGCTTTTTTAAATAGCCATTATTGGTTTCTGATCCAACCCTTGTCTACCAACCCATAGTAAGATGTTTTCTTCTCTCAAACTAACTAAAATCCTTTGTAAGATATTCTCTTAACCTGTATACCTCTCTTCACTGTACTTCTCAGTGAGCCCAGCCTTTCAAACTGCATCTTCCTCCTACCTCCCTCTACAGATCATCCAGCCCCTTTCCAGTTTATCTGTTTCTTTAAATCAATCATAATTTGAATTTTATTGGTATGAAACTCCTTAAATCCTTGTATTTGGATACTGCAGGATTGAATTTACTACGAACTAAAACAGCGAGCATAAGAGAAGTTTACTTTTAACCAAAAAAAATTCTCTTCTGTTTTTTAACTGAATAATGCTTGTCATGTTTTGTGTTTGATAGAGTGATTGGACTGTGAGCCTAGAATGTTTGTTTAGAGCAGATTACCAAGCACCCTTTTTCAAGGGGATTCAAACCCTTTAGATTTATGAAAACTCCTAATTTCTTTTTAACCCCTGTTTTTGTCATCAGCACTTGGGATCTTGATGTGCGCCTTAGTTTTGACCTCTGTGAAGAAGAGAGAAAATTTTTGGACAAGAGAAAGAAAATAGTTTCTCAGGCATTAATGAAGACACTTGGGTTAAGAGAAGCCCCAGGGAAAGATGAGGTATGAAATATAATGTTTAGAGATGGCTGTAGAACCATTATGATTGACTGGTGATCATTTAAATATGTAGCGCTCTTTACAAGTAAATTGGATTTTCCACAATTCGCAGAATATTCACAGCATATCCTGTGGTGAGTTTCTCTTTAGAGACATCTAGAATTTTGAGTTCTAGTCTTTTGGTACGTCTACACTACACCACTTTTAGCAACAAGGCTATGTTGATACATCTGTCAGGCAGTATACACACAGTTTGTCTGCACTTTTTCTACTCCTCAGAAAAAACTTAAAAAACAATGAATGGTCCGGCAGCACCTTAGAGACTAACAAAAATGTAGGCGGTATCATGAGATTTCGTGGCCACAACCCACTTCTTTCATCTGAAGAAGTGGGTTGTGCCCATGAAATCTCAGGATACTATCTACATTTTGGATTAGTCTCTAAGGTGCTGCAGGACTATTCGTTAAGTTTTTTCAAGTTACAGATTAACACATCTTACTCCTCTGAGACTTTTACCCTCTGAGTGGTGTAAAGCACTGTTTACACTAGTATTTGTCACTGAAAAGCTTTTGCCATGAGGGGTTGGGTGGGAGGGGAACTAAGCACCTGTGAACTACAAAAGCTTTGTCCACTCAATTGCCAGTGTAGACAAATCCATATATGTATATAATACTACTGCTACAGAAATTATTAATGTATTTTTTCCTTATAACAGTGTAGGTTTCATGTACTATTGCAGGGGTTCCCAAACTTTTTGACACGGGGACCAGTAAATCCATTCACGAGCTTTTGGAGGACCAGTAACAGTCATTTGCGTATTTGCATATTCATCAAGCAAATGATGAATATTCAAATAAGATTTTTCTGGTCCTTCCAAAGCCCCCAGTGCCAGCTTTTGATACGGTCACCCACAATATTCTTGCCAGCAAGTTAAGGGAATATGGATTGGATAAATGGGACGGTAAGATGGATAGAAAGCTGGCTAGATCAGTGCTTCCCAAAATTTTATTGTAGTTGGATCCCATTTTTTTCAGTACTGTTTTTTGCAGCCCAAAAATATAAACGCATATTTAAAAAAAAAATTAAAAATGAATAAATTTTCAGTCTTTCCCCCAGCCACATCCTCCGCCCAGCCTGGGCCAGGGCTTGGGGGACAAGGCACCGCATGGGCGCTCCAGGAGGCAGGAGCAGGAGCAGATTGGGGACAGGGTAGCTGGGTAGGAGGGAGGGTGCAAGGAAGGGTAGGGTTGCCAGGTGTCCGGTTTTGTACCAGACAGCCCGGTATTTGAAGGTTCTGTCCTGGAAATGAATTGCGAAAATATGGGACATATAAAATGTCCAGTATTTTCTAATTAGGTAAGTTTTATTAGTATTAGGTGTATCAGTCCGTAGCTTCGAACTACCTGGCTGGTAGATATGCTCATGCTGCATGAGTGTGTCTACCGGCCAGGCAGTTTGCAACAACTCGAGGGAGGGCATGTGGTGGGGAGAGGGAGCAAAATGGAATCCCCAGGCAGACTCACTCCTCTGCCAAGGTCTGTAGGGTCTGCATGTGCCCAGGTCAGTCCCGCTCCCTGCTACTCCCCGCACACACTTCTCCCAATCTCCCCTGGCCAGCCCCGCTGCCCCCATTCAGCCCTGCTTCCGGAGGCTGGTTCTCCCGTCGTCCTCCTCACTATCTACCCCGTCCAGCCCCCACCCCCCTCGTCCAGCCCTGCTTCTGCCTGCCACCTGCTCTCTCCGATCTCCGCCGGACAGCCCTGCTGCCCCCAACCTTGTTTCTG